TGGTCCCAATGGTTATATAGATATTCTAAAACTATATTTTGACTAAGCCATCACCATTTCACTATTTGAGATAATTTCTTTTTCACAAATTCATTTTCCATATATGTTTTAGATTTACTTCAATGTTCTAGTGTTTTATGTTTTGGTCCATGGATCTACCTTTCTACTTTTTATTTTATTTATTTATTTATTTTTTTTTTTGGTACTGGAGATGGAACTCGGGTCCTTGCGCTTGCAAGGCAGGCCACCGAACTGCTGAACTAAATCCCCGGCCCTTTACCTTTCTACTTTGAGACTGCCTTATTCACTATAGCTTTGGAGCATATTTTTGTAATTTATGGGGTTACCATTCCCTCATCATTTTTTTCTACTGTTCCTAGAAATTCTCACAACTTTATTTTTTCCAAAGAAATTTAAAATAATGTTCCAGAGTGCAATCTGTTGACAATTTTATTGAGACTGCTCTGAGTTTATAGATTAATTTAGGTAGAGTTGACATCTTTACAATATTGTTCCAATTTTAGTGTATGTGCTGCTGAAGCAAGCACCATGTTTACAATATCGAATTATCTGTGCTAGGAAATTGTATGTCTTTTCATTTATTTACATCTTGTTTTATATCTTTCAATGGAGTTTTATGGTTTTCTGCATGTAGGACCTGCATATTTCTTGTTTAGGCTTATTCCTAGGCATTTAATCCTTTTAATTGATGTATTAAAGGTACAACATCCCAATAATGAATGTAACTGTACTGTATACCTAAAATGTACCAATAAACTCAAAGATGAAAAAAATAAAATAATTGATGTATTAAATGTAAGCTTTTCTTTCACTGTATTTTCTCCTTGTTGCATGCATAGGAAAGTTGTTGGTTTCTACATATTACTTTTATACCCTGGTATCTTACTGAATTTTCTTACTATTGGAATTAATGTTTTAACTCTTTCTCATGAATTTTCCAGAAAGATAATCATATCATCTATATGTAGCAATAAGATATCCCGTTTCAAAGCTTTCATATTTATCATGTCAAATTGCATATCTAATACTTTTAAAACAATTTTAAATACCAGTGGAGGAAGTAGATAATTTCTCTTATTCCTAATTTTAGTGAGAATGCCTCTAATGTTTTGCCATTAAGTACAATGTTGACTTTTGTCTTTAAAAATGTATGATGACAATTATGGTATATAGAGTACCCACATTTCCCTATTTTTTTTTTTCAATCTGGAAAATCTGAAAAGGATGTTAAATTATTAACAAGTGTATTGTTTTAGGATCAAGGAGATTGTGTTATGGCTATTATCCTTTAGTTTATTGATGTTGTCAATTATATGACTAGATTTCTAATATGGAACCAGTCTTTTATTTCTAGGATGAACTGTACTTATTTATGATGTACCATATGTTTAACATCCTCCTAGATTCGCTTTCCTAAAATTTTATCTAAAATTTTTGCATCACTAGTCTAGTTTTCTTTTATGTGTTCTCTAGTTGGATTTTGGTATCAGTGTTTTGTAGAAACCTTTCTTCTCTCTTTATTCTCTAGATTCCAGAATATAGAAAGTATAAGTAACATTAAGTTTTAAGATTCATGAAAGTTGATCAAAGTAACATGAGAGTATGTGATTGTGCTGTTTTTTATTAATATTTTTCTATGGTAACTGGTAGGTTAGATATTCTATAGTGAGTTTTGATAAATTTTGTTTTCCTAAAAAAATAATTCTAAGTTTTCAAGTTTTTTTGTAAAATAAAGTATTCGTCTCCTTTTCTTTTGTTGTTACTGGTTATTTCTCCATTTCCAAGTTTGTGTATTTGGGTTTTTAAAATTAGGTTAACAAGAGGCCTGTTTTACTGTTTTGTATTTTCTTTTGAAGAACTGACTTTGTCTTTCATTATTAGGTCTATCACTTGCATTCTATTGTATTATTTTTTACCATTAGTTTTATTATATTTCTCCTTTGTTTACATTTATTTTTGAGATTCTTTTTATAACTTCTTTGTTGAATTAATTTAATTTATTCTTATATATCTTATATTATATTCTTATAATTTAATATATTCTTATATATCAATGTAATTGGAATTGCAATCAGCCAATCAAATCCTCTAGCTTCTAGTATTTTCATTATTGTTATTTTCTAGATATTCCACAATTTCAAATTAGATTTCCTCTTTGGCTAAAATTGTAGGATTGTCCCCTGTTTATTTTCTACAGGCTAGAGATTTTGATCTTTAATATTTGTTATTAATTTACAATGTTATTTTATTGCAATTATAGAATGTATTTAGCACTACCTGTATTTTCTGGCTCAATATGTAGTCGATTTTTAAGTATTCAATAAGCCCTTGGAAAGAAAGAATAGCCTTTTTTTTCACTTCCTTTTTTAGTGTATATTCTTTGTATAGATTAATGGGCTCCATTTTGGCACATCCATACTTGCCCATAACTTCTTTTACCATTTTGATCTCAGTGTGTGAAGAAATTCAGATTTTTTCCATTATTACTTTTTGACCAACATAGTCTGTCATCATTTGAAACAGTCATACATTTTGTTTTTGCTTTTTTCCACCTTTGCATTTCCTACAGATTTTACTATGTGTGTGTGTTTTTCTTTCTGTCTCTCTCTTTTTTTTTTTTTTTGTTCCTGGGATCAAACTTGGGTCCTTGCGCTTGCGAGTCAGATGGAGGAACCACTGAGCCAAATCCGTGGCCCTGCTTTATCAATTGTGATATTGTGTTTGTTTGGTGCATAAAGTTTCAGGGTAGTTAGATTCTCATCTGTGTCATATGTATTGATTTTTGCCTTGAATAAAATGTTTTTATAAAGGAAGTATCATAAGTTTAAAATTTTTCCATTAATTTATATATTAAACAGATATTTATTGAAGACCTACTGTGAGCTAGTCACTAGATCAATTAAATATAATACAAGATCCCGACGCTTGCAGAACTTATATGTTAAAGAGTAGAACACAAAGTAAGTGAAAATAGACATGTGATATAATATAAGGTGTGGATGAGTGCTCAGAGAAAGAACAAATAGACTAAGGATAATTCAGAAATCGTCTCTATAGTAGATATGCTAATCAGGAGAGGCCTCTCTGCCTGGTATGCATTTATTATCCTTTTACTTTACACTTTTCAGTTTTACTTTTGTTTTTCCTGAGGACCTATGCCAGGTAGAACAGTTTACACATAAGGAATTCCTCTTCCCAAGGAGAGTGTGCGCTGGGCGTCTATAGGTAGGGTGAGGCTCACGTGAGAAGAGAGTGGAGATCCTGAATATGAATTTCCGATCCATGTAAGTGATGAACGAGCCTGGAGGGTGGCTGAGACAAAGAGAATGAAAGACATTTTGCTTTCCATTCTGTCTGAGCTGGGCTACTATTTTGTGTGTTATTATTTTTACAGAAATACTCTCACTCTTCATCATGACCGTGGAATGGATGTTCTGTCTGATGATCTAATTGAACCTTTGTGATTTCCTGTCATTGGGTAGGATTTAGCATGATGTTGATTGCTCAGAGGCTACAGCGGGAAACCAGATCTCATGGCTCAGAAGGCTTACCTGTTTATAGTCTGGGGCAACAGCAATGTCTTTAACTTTATTACATAGAAGATTGGCATTTTATACATATTTAAAACCTCCCTCAGAGATTTTCTTCTATTACAAGAAGAGGGCCTTATTTTGCCTCCCAACTGAGAGTCTTTTAAAATTTTCTGATAGTTTTTTCTAAGTATACTATCATATATGGCTATACCATTTATATACATGCACTATATATGTAGTACATTAAAATTATATGTACACACATCCATAAGTCTTGATCTTGAATTTATTTTGATATGCAATATATAGTATAGCCCCAAATAGCCATGCTCTGCAGTTACCTCAAAAAGGTTTATTGAATAATATTTTGTTTTCTCTTTCTTTTGGAAGATTATGTCTGATGTTTTTGTAGGCAGTTTCGTTTTGGGACTTTCTATTCTGTTGATCAATAACATACTTTTAATCACACCTGTTTTATAACATGCATGATCTTTTATTTATCCCCGTCCTCATTTCTTCAGTAGCAGAACACTCTTTAATGTAATATCCTGCTTTGTCTTGCAAGATAATGTTAAAAAACCAATAGTTATAAATTTTTATGTTGAGAATTCTGATTGGAACTTTACTAGAGGAAGATATTTTAAATCCAAATAACAGATATTTATGGATGGTCTGCTTGGTAATTTTGCTACAAGTCTAAGAACATAAAAAGCGTCCATATCTAATTCATAATACAGGTTGCATCCAAAGAGGCAAGAAGAGGAAATGGAGGTGAGGAGTGATCCAAAGGCGATTATTTATTATTTATTAAGAAAAATATGAAGCCAATGTATGAAGCATACATGGAAAATATTAAAATGAGCTAATTTTGAGTGGTAGGTGGGAACATGGCTATTTCTTATGGTACTGTCTATACATTTGTAAATATATGAAATTTTTTCTAGTTAAAAAATAAAACAAAGATGGCAGATAAGGCACAACAACAGGCTGTAAGCCCCAAAATCTATCTAATCTGAGTGCTATAAACAGACAAGGTCAGTGTGTATGTCTTTATACTTTAGAGTGAGACAGTTCAGGTTCTAATCCTAGTTCTACCACTTGTTAGCTTCATGACTACAGGCAAATTACTTAACCTGTGCCTCAGTTTCCCTAACTGTAAAATAAGAACAACAGCTACATCATAGGGTTATTGTGAAGGTTAAATAATACATGAAAAGCACTTAAAATAGTGTCTGGTACTTAGTATATGCAAAGTAAACTTTAGCTATCATTATCATTATCTTATTATTATTGTGATTATTATTACTATGGCTAGTATATATAGTTACTACATACATTACAGTGTTTTGTGGCCATTTAAAAATTATATATAAACAACGTTATCCAAAATAAGGACCCATCTGCAAAGTGCTTTATGTTTTTCAAACCCCATTCACTGTTTTGCAGAGAAATGGCTCATTCCAAGGCCAACTTTTCATGGGCAACCCCCTTCCATTCCTGCCTTGAGAACTCAGCACTGGATTTAAGCCACCGAGCAGTTTCTTCTCTTGACCTCCTTGGAGACTTCAAACACTCCTTAAAGAAAACAGAAGAAACTTCAGTTTATGAGGAGGAGAGCTCCCTTGCCTCCATGCCTCGTCCACTGCGCAGCCGTGCCTTCTCAGAGAGTCACATCAGCCTGGAGCCTCAGAACACCCAGGCTTGGGTGCAGCATCGAAAGGAGCTCTTTACCAAAGGTGATGAAACAAGGCCTGATCCCGTTGGAGCCAGGAAGAAGGCCTTTCCTCCTCCTCGCCCTCCTCCTCCCAACTGGGAGAAATACAAACTCTTCAGGGCAGCCCAACAGCAGAAGCAGCAGCAGCAGCAGCAGCAACAGCAACAGCAGCAACAGCAGCAGAAAGAGGAGGAGGATGAAGAGGAAGAGGAAGAAGAGGAGGAGGAGGAGGAAGGGGAGGAGGATGATGGAGAAGAGGAGGAAGAGGAGTTGCCACCTCGGTATTTTAGTTCAGAAACCATTGGTTCCTGTGCTCCCAATCCTGAAGAGGTCCTCAAGCAGCCACAACCCATGAGCCTTGGCCACCTGGAGGCCTCAAGGAGAGGTTCACAAAGCCTCTCAGACCAAGAGTCTTTTGCTCTCCATTCCAGCGATTTCCTGACTCCAGTAAGGGGCCACCTGGGATCTCAAACTGAGCAGGCACAGCCCTCTTGCTATTATGGTATTGGTGGGCTTCGGAGGACATCAGAGCAGGAAGCCATTGATTCCCCCAAGTAAGTGTTTGTGGGAGACACTGGGTCCCTGAAAATGTATGCAGCATGAGATCGAATTCTACTTCTACTATTTACCAGCTGCCTGACTTTGGGCTGTTAAATTAACTTGCTCCCAGCCTTAGTTTTCTTACCTGGAAAATGGGCATAATACTTGCTCTGCATGGTTGTTGTGAATATAATCTATGTAAAGAACATAACTACATGCTTAGCATATAGTAGGTGCTCAGTAAATGGAAGTTTTCAATGCTCTTATCCCTAAATACCATTATTAAAATATTGTATTATTCATCAACTTGTCTTTAAGGTATGTATAAATATCTGGCCCCTGATCTTAGAAGCATAGGTCTTCTAAACCCTATTTGATTGTTCTAGGCCTTTACTGGAAACCTGGCTTAGGGTCTTATCTGCCAACCTAGCTTGCCAGCTAAGAAACCTTGACCTCTAATCCCTCCCACCTCAGCATCAAAAGTATTCCTGAGGCTGGCTGCTTGTGCTCTGGTAATTCCTTACAGTCACTAACAGCAGTCTTTATCTCTTCCACTTTTACCCCCCTCCTCGTTTTCTTGCCTCTTTGCATTTCACAGGAAGGTCAAAGCAGGAGTGTGGGCTGGCATGGGACTGCGGGTCCTTGTTCACGAGCCACTGTACCAGTGCCTCTGTGAGACCCACAGTACCTAATTGTCACTTTTACCCTTGAGCAAAACCCCCACACTACCTCTTCTTAGGGTTTTGGCTCTTAGCTCTGCCTGCTCTCCTGCAGAGAGCTCTCCCTACTCTCTATTGGGGGTGGGAGCAGGAGACAGGTATCTTCTAAGTGCTTTCTTTAAATCCCTTTACAATGAACTTGCCTGAGACTTATCACTATTAGAAATACTTTGTTGTTGTTGTGCCCTTTATTGACAGGCAAATCTTGTTACTTGACTGTCTAGAGCAGGTTGTTCAATTTCCAGTCTGAGGTGCCACGAGGTTTTTCTTTTAAACAGATTGTCACTTTGCAATTCAGGCTGGCCTTGAACTCACTATATAGCCCAGGTTGGCCTCCAATTCAAGGTGACCCTCCTGCACCAACTTCCTGAGTGCTGGGACTACAGGTGTGTGCCACCACACCTGGGCTGCCACAAGCTTTTAAAGCATTTTCAGGGCTTGGCTTTCAGGCATTGCGAGAATCCCTTACCAGATCCCATGTGGCTGCTTCTCAAGCTGTCCGACATCTATCTGGGGAACATTCTTATTTGCAAACTAGAAAATATTTTGTGGAAAGTAGCTTGTAATTGTTATGTAACACAGCCAGGATACGGGAAGGTGACCTAGCACCTAGTAGGCACTTAACTAATATGTCAGAAGAAAAGATAGATTAAATGGGTGAATGAATGAATGAATAAACACTTATTAAGCATTTACTATGGACTAGGCACTGGTAGAAATTTTATGTCTATTATGTTATTTAATCCTCTCAACACTCTTGTTGGCCATTATTATCCCCATTTGACAATTGAAGAAACTAAAGTTTAACAAAATAGGGACTACTTAATGCAGTGTTAAACAGCAAAGATTCAAAACTAGATCTGTCTGAGTCTAGCCTATAACTTTTTCCTTCTTCAAGAGACTTTCTCACAAGAGGTCTTGTTCTTCCAGTGGACCAGGTCTTCAGGAGTCCTTTCTCTCTGCTGTAGGATCACAGCGGAGGTAGTAGTTATGGTCCCTGAACCTTCCTTCTTTATGTACCTCTATTCATCTTTGCACACTGGCCACAAGAAGGAAATTGCTATCCTCAGAGATCTTGTAACTTGCTCCAGTGATTGTTTTAAAAACAATAAGATGTGAGGAAAAACATGTGTTTGCAAACAGCCTGGCTTCTGGCTGCAAAAATCAATTACAGATGCTCCCCAGAGATAAAGCTTTAAAGATCAGCATCATTCCCAACATAGCTAACATTTTTTACCTATTAATGTCTCACATACTGTTCTAAGCACTTTCATCGACCGTGCCTGTCTTAATGGTGGCTCAGTTTAGGACTTTTTTTTTTTTAACTTTACCACAGTGTAAAAGCAATACACATTCAGTAGAACTCACACTTCAACTTTTGCATTTTGATATTTTTCTGGGCTAATAAATTGCAGAACAGGATACGGGATGGCAGCGGCAGCCAAGTATCCCAGTCAGCCACATGATTATGAGAGGAAACCATGACTCTACAACGTGCTGTGTTACTAAGCTGTGATGTTTGGTAGGTTAGGTGTACTCAATACATTTTCAAATCATGATATTTTCAACCTATGATGGCTTTATTAGGATATTACTCTACTGTAAATTGAGGAGCATCTGCCTTAATTGATTTAATCTCCACAATAAACCTATGAAATAGTTATAGTTAGTCTCCTCTGTCTTTTAGATGAGAAAAGTAAGGTCGAAGGACAAAACATAACTTTGTCATAGGATCACAGGCAGCCAGAACCCAGGCAGTCTGGTTCACTCTGTCCACTCATCATCTCTGGGCTCTTGAAGAATATTCTATTCCAGGCCTTAGACTTGCACAGAATGTTTTAAACCTAAAATGCAAACACAAACATCCACATTTTGGCCAAGTCAAATTGCAATGTAATATCTAGAATACACATACAACCAGGACAACAGAATTTTCAAATTTTGTTCAGGTCAAAGAACTCTGATTCAAGTATATGTATAGCTTGTTTTATGGGCTATATGCACTTCTTGTCAGGGCACTGTGGAAAGACTCTGACTTTTGCTTTGATATTCACTTTTAAATTCTGATTATATTTTCATAGATTTCCTGTGATCCCTTCTCTGTGCATGGAAGCGATAAGGAAAGGGGCCCTAGAGCACAGTGCCTACCTAATATGATCTGCTGAGAAATTCAGTCTCCAATTAGCACAACATTTTTTCATTTATAATTTTTGATTCAAAACTTTCATACATGTCCTAAATATTTTTCCTGTTGATAGGAATTCACTAAGTTCATATCTTCCTATTCCTTCCAGAATGTTCTCTCTTCTCTCCTAACATAGATATACTCCAGCCAGAAAAGTCTTTATACCTAAGATTTCATAGGATATCAAATTGTCTCTCTGTTAATATTGCATAATACCAAAAACACAAATTATGGAATTGTGCTGCCCAGGTAGAAATGATACGTCTGCCATTTACTGGCTGGTGACCTTGGGATAGTCACCTTACCTTTTGAAGACTCAATCTTCTCATTTGCTAAGTGGTTTTGGTGAGCATTCAGTTATACATCTATATTCCCACACGTGTGTGTGTATGTGTGCGTGCACGTGTGTGTTTTTGCACGTATACATGCTTATCTCTATTTTAGGACAGTTTCTAAGACATGGTAAGCACTGTGTGAGCTAGTGTTGTTCCACCATCAGTGTTATAAGCTTGAAACCTTACATGTAAAATAAATTTAGCTAGGATGAGGAATAAGGGCACGCCCAGGTTTTCTCTGTGTGGTGAATTAGGAGACTGCATACTGTGAATCAGTAAATAGCTGTGGAGCCTTTTAACTGTTCTTTTTAACCTTTATCTAAGAGCTGCATATATCTGCAAGAATGATTGGATTTCTCTTATTTTCCCTTTCAAACAACTAGGGTTTAACAAAGGGATAGTCAGAAAACAGGTGGAGGGTGGGGGTGGCTGCTAGGTAAAGAGAATAGAGTGAGGGTGGGCCTCCATCTTGCATAAACCCTGGGTGGAATTATTTATCCCTCCATCACTGAAAACTGACATTGTAACATTTCTCTTTCTCTCTTCTTTCCACCAGGTCAGAAGCATCGCTGGCAGAAGAGTCCAAACCCAAGCCAGCATGGAACCAGAGCTACTTCTTTCCTGAGGAGAAATTCTCTTTCGTAGGCCATGGTTCTGAGAAACAACACCTCGGCCCTGTAGACTTTGGTGAACCCAAGGCAACAAGGTCTGCTGCTGCACTTGGCAATCCCCTAAGTGTAGCTGGTTCCACTATTTTTATTTCATTCAACAACTATGCATTGAGGCCTGGGTCACTGGGGATATACCAGAAGTAGAGAGATACTAATTCTTCTCAGGCTGAAGGGCTACCCTCCAGCAGGCAGTCTCAGATGAACTCACGAGAGGGCAAATGACAGGTCCGGGGCAGGGGTGCTAACCCCAGCCTCCAACATGGTGACCATGGCTGAGATCATGGACGACCTCTTTGCTGTGGAGATCTTCAGTGGAGGGGCTATTTCAAGAAGAATTGACATCAGGAAAGAAGAAATGAGTGTCCAGGAAAGCCACAGGGTGCCTTTATAGGCAAGCAACATAAATAGAGATGAAGTGAGTAGAGGTCTGTGGATTAGTAGGAAGGAGGCCAACAAGCTTGGAAGACTGATAACTAAGAGCTTAGATGATTTTCTACTACCCAGTCCCTCCTTTAGGGTTCATACACTGTTGCCATGAATCAAGGGGAATTATTAATGAACAAAAGCCAAGAATTTTCAGAGCCTGCCAATTTTTCTGGATTTCAATGGAGCATTAATGACTAAACTAAATTATCTCTAAAGAAGTCTCCCTAACTGCTAAAGTCAGTGGCGTGGGAATAGCCTTCTAGATTCTTTTGTTGTTGTTCAAGATAAATTCCAAAGGTTTATTGCACCAAATGCCACAGAAAATGGATCAAAATAATACATGAACAAGTGTTAAGAAAAGTCTCCCAAAAAATTCCAAATTTATTGCACCAAATGCCACAGAAAATGGATCAAAATAATACATGAACAAGTGTTAAGAAAAGTCTCCCATACATTGATATTGGTATTCATTCAACTGATCAAAAATAGTCCCTATCAATTTCTTTTAATGAAGCTTTAAGAGTAACAAATCCCAGAATTCCTGTTGTTAGCCACCACTGAAAATTAAGCTTACTGTAATCTCACTTCCCCAAGCCTTCTAGATTCTTGAAGTCTGCCTTTACCTGGCTTCTAGATAGCCGTGTAACCTGTGTATGTTTGAGTAGTGCCAGCTGAACCATTATTGCCATCATCATCATCGTCATCATCATCATCATCACCATCATCACCATCATCATTATTTTACAACTCTTTGGTGAATCAGTGTATTATTTTATAATGGGGAAATTAAAGCAGAATGGTCAGCAACCTCTCAACAGAGGTGCTCAAATGATCTCTCTTTCTTTCCACAGACAAGAGTTTCAGCACTTCTCACCTCCTCCAGGGGGCCCAACAATCCCTACCTCTTACTCAGCTTATTACAATATTTCTGTGGCCAAGGCAGAGCTGCTGAACAAGTTGAAAGACCAACCCGAAATAGCAGAGATGGGCCTGGGTGAAGAGGAAGTTGACTATGAACTAGCTCAAAAAAAGGTAAAATTTTAGGTATACACTAGAGAATTTTGACATATAGCTTGAGTGTGTCTGGAGGGCAGTCAGGCCCTCTACACCCTTTGGAATGTCTCGTGTTACTGTATTTTCAATATGGCAATAAAATAGCCTCTCTGAGTTTCTCACAATACAATTCCAATCTCTAATCCAACCAATAGTAGTAACTGTAGTAGTGATCATCACTGCCTCTCTTAGACCTATAAGCGCTGTGTGTGTGTGTGTGTATCTCCTAGAGCTTTGCTCATGATAGGCAAGCACGCTACAATTGAGCTATCCCACATCGTGTAACAGTCACAGTGTTTTGGGCATGATGCTAGGAATTGAACCCAGGGTCTCATATATACTAGTCAAGCACTCTGCAACTGAACTACACCCCTAGCTGCTGCTATTTATAATAATAATAATACATTATATTATATGTATTATAATATATATACATTATATTATATAATGTAGTAGTAGTAGTAGTAGTAGTAGTAGTAGTAGTAGTAGTAGTAAGATAATCGTGCTAGGGATGGAACCCAGGACTTTCCACGTGATAGGCAAGCTCTCTACCACTCAGCTATATGCCCAGTCCTTCAAAGTATATATGACTAACCCCTTTTTCACCAGTTGGGGGAATTAATTTTCCTAATGGTTACAAACTAAATATATCCAGGATTTGAAGTCAAGCTGAATTTCTGCCCTACCATCCTGTCCTTCAGAATTAAGCCACCCTTGAAGGTAACTCATCACCCAGGACACAACAAAGTTTCTGCCACTGAACTCTAGCCAACAGCAGTACGTTAACTTTTTTTTTCTGTGTAACTTTCCAGGAAGAGAACAGATTAAGGAAAATAAGAAGAAATTATAGGCTGGCATACTTTAGTATTTATATGCAATGATGGTCATTTATTTCTTAAAACTACAAAATAGATAAATGGAGATAGTATTGCTGTTGTTGTTGTTCTCAAGCCTCTCTTTTGCCCTGTAAGTACCCCTAGCCTAGTTTTCTAATCAAGTTCCTCGAATTACTTTGCCTTCCCTGTATTTACCCATTTTATTTAATAGGCAAATAGGCTTGTCATGGAAACCTCCAAGGCACATTTTACCATTTTGTGGATTTATGAACTCAGTGGAAATTGTGCTTCTGCCCATAGTTCTCTTGCAGAACATGACCCTTAGGAAAGCACAGGGCCATTTGTAAAAGCCTTCTGTCTAATTTTCCATCTGAAGCAAAATGTCAGGGGAAGAATTGGAAGCATGGTGATGTTGAAGGGTTTTTTTTGTTTATTTTTGTTTTGTTTTGTTTTGTTTTGTTTTTTTGGTACCAGGGATTGAACTCGGGTCCTTGCACTTGCAAGGCAGGCCACCGAAGTGCTGAGCTAAATCCCCAGCCCTGATGTTGACGTTTTGTTGACCCAGAAGATCTTCCTTGGATTCCATGTTCCCTGAGCATAATGGTGGTGCTCCTTTTTCACTTAGAACCTGACCTTTCTAAGGCAAAGCTAAATAAAGGTCTGACTAGAAAAAGAGTTAGATGACCAGACATGGCAAAGCACAGAATGACAGAGTGATTGGCAGTGACTATGGGTAGATTAAGACAGTGTTTTCACTGAGGAAAAAAGATAAAGGCTACCAGTTTGCAATAGCCCATGTAAAAAAACAATTCAGCTCTAGCTGGGTCTATGATAACTCCACAGCTCTGTCTTCTACACTTTCTCCAGGGCTGAAGCTCAAGTTGTAGAGGCCAGGTGCTGAGAAACAAAGGACTTTCTTCATTTTCATCCTCTCATCCATCTCCAGAGCCTGAAAGCCAGGATGGTTTGGAAATTTCAGTGTGCATCATGCCTTGTCCCTACCCCTGAGGTTTTGTGTGAGAAAGCAGAAGGTGTTAACGGGGAGTCTCTTGACAAGTAATTCTGCCTCATTTATGTCACTGAACCCCAAATCCTAATGGCTTTGGGAATTTTTGCCAAATGCAGACCTGTTATACTTAACTATGGGCATGGTGATCTTCTGATTTTTAAACAGTGCTAAAGTATGGCAGAAGGCCCTTGAACCCAGATGAAGCCCTCTTAATCTTGGTCACCTTGTACATCTCCAAATAAGATACTAGATAAGAACACATTCTAGAAAACTATAAGGCTGTGATCTTAGTATGCCTAGACTGAAGTAAAAATAAACAGTGTAGCATGCTTTATATTAATTACTCTATGAAATAGGCAGCGTTGTTATCCTACTTTTTCAGATGGCGATATTGAGGTACAGAAAGGTTGAGTAATTTGTTCACGGTCAGACTACTACTTTTTGGCAGAGCTAGAGTTCCAATTTAAATAGTCTGACACTGAAGTCCATATTTTTAACCATAATGCAATACTAGCTGTGAAGGTTCTGGGTGACCTAGGAAGGCTCCATGCTTGTCATAACCTTGTAACTAGACCAATATCCTCTAGGGTATAGTGCCTTGAATTAGTAACAGAAGTAGCAGTAGTAGTAGTAGTAGTAGTAGTAGTAATTATGATCAAAAACATACATTGAACCTTAAATGTACCAGACACAATAGTATTTTGCTTCTATGATCTCACCTGCCATCACAACAACACTGGGGTTGGGTGGAATGCTTCTCCAGTTTGTAGATGAAGAAATAGTGGGAATAGATATTCAAATCCAAGGTCATAGAGTTTGAAGAAGGTAAAACTGGATTCTGGGCATCTCTGATTCCAAAACTGCACTGTCCAACATTGCTTTCCTGCGAGTGCAGTCCCAGAACTGATCACACATAGAGGGGGAACAATTTGGAAGACACAGGCAGCATTTTCCTTGAGGAACTTAAAATCAATAATAGGGCAAGGAATTGGATTCACATATAAAATAGAATGTTAACAACTTCAAATTACGGTATAAGGTTCAATTCTAAAAGACTTGAGAGTCTAGGAAAGAAAGCAATCATTGAGAGAATGCTTCCAGAGGAGGACTTCCTGTAGGGAAGATGATGGCAGAGCCGTGCCCTGAAGTAAAAATAGAAATAGCCAAAGAAAATAAGAGCAGATAGAACTGCAGAAATAACTCAGGAACACAAGAATGAGTTTTGTGAACAAACAATAGCATGAAGGGCTAGTCCTGAAAGGTTCTGAGGAGTGAATTTAAAATGGTAGAATGAAAACAGATATAACAAGAATAATAATAATAATAATAATAATAATAATAATAAATAGCAGCACTTAAGAACCTATTGTATGCCCTCAGCATTTACTGTTCACATCCATTCAATGGATGTCATTGAATCATTACCACCCAGTGCAACAGGTACTTCAGTTATCTCCTTTCCTTCTATGTATAAAGAGAGAAGCTCAATAAAGTCAAATTATCCAAGGTCCCAAAACTAGGAAGTGGCAGAGCCAGAAGTCAAACCCAGTAATTATGACTCCAAAATTTTCACTCATCCCAAGACCTTAAAAGCCAAGCTAAAAGCTGGCTAAGTGGGCAAGGACCTAGCACAGTACCATGAACATAAGAGGTACTTATATGGATTGAAGAAGAATGAATGAAGTGATAAGCATTTGATGACAAATGTTTCTCCAACCTAGGATCTCAGAAGCATTCTAGTTCCAATTTATTGTATAGTCTTAGAAAGTATTCTGTTGTGTTTGGCAAATGAGACTTAGCCCACTTACTAATTCCAGTACATTTTGTGGTGACATGGACTTTTCTACCAAACAAGGAGAGAAGGTACCTGCCCCCAAAACTGAAGTTACTCATGACCTCAAAGGACTCCTTTGTTTCCAGATCCCAAAACACAATCTACGGCTATAGATCAGTTTCTGTTGGTCCCCATGCTCATCCTTTTCCTTCCCCTATTTAACTCCCCTAGATACAGCTTACTGAAAGCATTGGCCGAAAACTTTCTGTCCTAAGGGAGGCCCAGCGAGGGCTGCTGGAGGATATCAGTGCCAATTCAGCCCTTGGAGAGGAGGTGGAGACCAATTTAAAGGCCGTCTGCAAATCCAATGAGTTTGATAAATATCGCTTGTTTATCGGGGATCTGGATAAAGTGGTTAATCTGTTGCTGTCACTATCTGGACGACTGGCTCGGGTGGAGAATGCTCTTAACAGCATCGATTCAGAGGCCAACCAGGAAAAGGTAGAGTTGGGGTCTCCAGGGATGTGGATGGAGGGAAATAGCACCTGTTTTTTTTCCCCTCAGGACTCCTTCTTTGAGGCTGGGCTCTTGTGGGAGGCAGAAAAGCATAATGTTGAGTATAAATACTGGCTTATAAGTGCCCTGAAATCCCAGCTCTACCATTTATTAGTTGTGTAACCATGGGAAATTTACTTAACATTACTCTCCCTTAATCTCCTCATCTATGAAATGAGATGCACACACTACCTGCCTCATGGGGTTGTTGTGAGGATTAAAGTAGATAATCCATGTTTATTACTTCAAACAACCTCTGGGTCAGAGGTTGTAGCTCAGTGTAGAGCACTTTCCTAACATGTACAAGGCCCTGAGTTCCCTCCTCAGAACTATGAATAAAAAAACAGGACCTGGAAGAGGGTAAATACTGAATCATTGCAGGCTGCCAGTAGTAGTGATGGTGGTGGTGGAGGTGGCAGCGGCAGCAGCAGCAGCAGTTTTGCGTCATTCTCACTCTTGAGCCCAGAGGGAATGTCCCTTGGGAACGCTGTCAGTTTCACAGACTGGCTCTCGCTGCATTTATCCTGAACCACACTGCTTTACCTTACCCTACACAAGTAGCTTTGAATCCACGATAAGAGACACATACGCCTGTGTACACGTGTACACAGACACATACACTCACACGTGTCCAAAGCAGCATCGCCACAGCTGTGGTTGTTTCCCAGACGGAAAGGTCAAAAACTGGTTTTGTTACAAACAGCTACACACCAAATCCGCAGATGAAAGAAAGGCATCCTTAGAGATGCAGGAAGGCAACTGCACTTCCACTTGTGCAGAGATGCAGTCATGTCTGTACTGCTCCAACTACAGGAAAGGAAGGCTTTTTGCATGGAGGTGGATTTTACAGCAGAACATTTTGGACCAATCAGCAGGATGGATAGCTGCTTTGATCCCGCCTCCCTGGTGAGGCCCTACTAGGCAGGTGCCTGGTAATCAGAACAGCCCTTAATTACTCCTCTGCTTCCCCAGTTGGTGCTGATAGAGAAGAAGCAGCAGCTGACGAGCCAACTGGCAGATGCCAAGGAGCTGAAGGAGCATGTGGATCGTCGGGAGAAGTTGGTGTTTGACATGGTCTCCCGCTACCTGCCTCAGGACCAGCTCCAAGATTACCAGCACTTTGTCAAGATGAAATCTGCTCTCATCATTGAACAACGAGAGCTGGATGAAAAGATCAAGCTCGGGGAAGAGCAGCTCAAATGTCTCAGGGAGAGCCTACTCCTGGGGCCCAGCAATTTCTAAATCACCAGTAGTCTGCCACAGCATCCCTGACCAGCCACAGCAGGAATTGCTTTCATCTTCAGTAGCTGTTTGCTAGCAACAGATAACAATTAGTTAGCAGTTTGTTACAGCCCTATTACCCTGAACATCTCTCGCTGCTCCTTCCCTAGCAGTGGTCCCTACCAGCAAGGATACCCTAAGGTGATGCCAAGCTTCTACTTAGGGAGCTATAGCAAGGTGTGATCATGCAAGTGCACTCTCCCTCCCACAGTGTGTGTGGGCAAGCATTCACTGCCCACAGAACCAAGAAAGTGCCTTCATTCTTCTTTGTACTAGGATACCAAAGATAACCTGAACTCTCAACCCACTCACACCATAATCGGTTTTTTGAGGATCAGAGAAAAGCCACCTGTAAGGCTCTTTTCAGACCAGGGCTTGTGGACCAGTCATTTGCTGTGGAGATCTGGCTGCCTTGAGGGCATTCATCTACCACCAGGTTCAGGGACTTACCCAAGCTTTGTAGTGGGAAGCAAAAAAGGAGTGATTACTCAAGAGAATGTGAGTAAAGTTTGGGTATCCCCAGGTGACCCTCAGGAAAAAGCGAGGCTTAAACAAGTTGGCTCTATTTCGACCTTCCCAAGCAGCTGGTTGACAGGAAAGAAGCCTGCTTTCAGCCTTGGCTGGTGTGGCTTCCTCCTATCCTAAGACTTTAGGCTTGCCAATTTTAATTTCATCGTGCTCTTATTTTGTTGGGAGTTACAGGTGCCCATCCCAGTGCTTCACACTATGGGCCCTTAATAGCTTTACTATAGCTTGACTTCAGGATATAGATTTCATTATCGGTGGGGAAGTTCTTATTATTATATTTTAAGTGGCTTTTAATTTTATTTATTTTTATGTTTTGATTTTTTTTCTTTTTTAACTAGTAAGGTGAGAAGAGGGAAGTTGGAGAGGGAAAAGTTAGCCCAGGAAAGCATTTTCTACAGATTGGCCTCAATCCACCATGGCTAGTTAAGCATGTGCTGAGACATTCATTCCTTCCTACTATAGCTACAAGTGTCGAAGAAAGGTGTTCTCCTCTTGAGCTCATAGCGTCCCTATCGTGGCCAGGCTGCTTGCTTCCCTTGAAGTCTGGGTGATTGTGAGCTTGCTTTTCCCAGCAGTGTTAAACTTTTGCTTATATATTTTTTAAGCCAAAGAAATGAAACTGGCAAAGATCACCCATTTTTCTAATGGTTCCAGGCAATGAATAAATGGAGGCATGTTTAGGAGGTGCTTCTCTAATAACTGCTTTTCAGCCTATGGCCTGGCTCAGGGAACCAGAACTTCGGTAGCTGGAAGCTGCAACCAGGACCAGCTCCCCAGAGCAAATTATGATCCAACCATACAGCACCCCCTTCTTAGCCTGAGGAATATGTTCCAAGACCCCCAGGGGATTCCAGAAACCTTATATACACTGTGCCTTTTCTTACATGCTCCGTAGCAATGCCACATAGAACTGGAGTTAATCTATCCTCCCATGTTCTATGTTCTAGTGGCTCTTGGTTTACTACTCTTCTGTTTTGGGGTCATTATAAGTAAAAGAAGGGTTACTTGGACATGAGCGCTGTACGCCACAATACTGCAGTGGCCAATCTGATAACTGAGATGGCTACTAAGTGACTAAAGGTGGGTAACCCACAGGACTTGGATATACTGGACAAAGGGAAGATTCATGTCCCAGGTGTAACGGAACAGAATGGAGCAACATTTCTTCTTGCTACTCAGAACGACACACAATTTAAAGCTTGTGAGTTGTTTATGTCTGGAATTTTCCATTTAATCATTTTGGACCATGGTTGACCCCAGGTAACTGGAACTGCCAACAGTGAAATTGCAGATAAGGGGAGACTACTGTACAAAGAACTGAAGCTACTGCTATTGCTGAGGACCTGACACTGGTAGCCAGCATAAATCCTTGAAAAGCCCTCAGGTGGGCCATGGCAGGAAGGGAATTTTAAACTAAACCCTGCCCTATTACTTGGCTCAATTTCCTGTGATTTGCTGATTGAGATCAACCTTTCATATCACACAGCCCACCTAAACCCAGCCTAACAAAGCCTAGCATCTCTTCAAGTACTGCTGAGTTCCTCAGGATGCTTGGAAGTTAACTGTAGTAACAGAGGTACCTCATCCAACCAAAAAAAAAAAAAAAAAATTCACCAAGGAACTTTGCTGCTGCTGCTGCTACAAATACTGGTTACTGGCTTCCGTTTCCTCTACATTGTATCTGAAAACAATGGGAGAATCTTGGCCAGCAGGGTGTGTGGGTGGGGGAGAGGAAGTAATCCTTTCTGTGGGGCCCTGGCTATACTCTTAGTATTGCTGCCAATGGCAAAAACCGTTGTTAGTGTCAATCCTGCCATTCTGCCCTCCAGTGGAAGATGCTACCCTTCTCAGAAAGGCTGATGGCTTTTGAAAGGCTAGGTTTATCCAAGTGAAAGTTGAGGAGGTGGGGGAAGTACTTTGAACAAAGGTCATAGTTGACATCTTTTTTTGTTTTTCAACAAGTCTTAAGGACAAACAAACAACAAGTTGAAATGTCTTATACTGGAGCGGGAGTGAGGCCAGGGTCTTCCAGAATTCTCAAATTTTTAGCCAGAATAGATTTTTGATAATATGGGGCTGGGAAGAAGAGTGATCATTTACCTGGATACTATGAGCACAGTCCGGATTTTTCGAACCAGTGTTAAACTAGTTATACATGATGTGTGTGATACCAAACATACTATTAACACTATCATTTTTGTCCCTCGTCTCTCTTCATATTAGTTTCTATAATTGGAGTCAAGATACAAGGATGCTCATTTTCACATGAAAGTTTCCAAAGCTCTTAAAAACTTAACCTCAATTATACTGACAGCGATGACCTGTAAACAAAGGTGAACTACTAGACAGACACTGGCATGCCAATTCTTGCTGTGGTAGTCCCATTGTGAATGATAGTGCTACGTTACTGGCCTTACTTTTCTCTCCCCTGTCCTCAGTTTCTGGGCTATCCCTCTTCCAAGGCTTTTGGGGAAGGTGGCAGTTTGGAAGGCAGGTCAACAGATTTCTCCAAAGACAGTTAATGGTCTTAACATGTAACCTGTTCCTTCAAATACTTACAGAGGTCCCAGAGAGTAAGAAGTAAGCAAAGTGGTGAATAGATAGAAATGAGTCAGTGTGAGGGTTCCTGTCACATGTCCCCTCTTACATCTCTCATCCCTAAGACTGAATAATTGGGTCTCCCTGAGTCCCACAGCCAGAGACTCAGCCAGGATATAGAAATAAATGCCCAAGTGAAATCCAAGATAATGAGAAAAGACACTAAAAATAAAGCCCTGGAAAGGGAGAGATTAGAAGCAGAGGAAAGGCAGGAGGGTGAAAAGATGCAAAGCTTTTATTCATGGTCAGGTTCAGATTCTGTTTTCCATTTAACCTCGTGTTAAATGAACCCCCCCAAAAGCTGCCCAGGATCACTAGAGTCACATCCTCAACCCAAGCCTCCATGAAGGTGCTGCTCTACCATTAACACAAACATATTCCCAAGATGGAAGAAGCTGGGAAGATTTATGGCCATTTCCACCCATCTAGAGCTTTGACAACTCCCACTGTCTTTTCCAGATGTGTTCTTTATGTCAATGGTATTTCTGCAAGAACATATTGTATTATTTGAAGATTAGTAGATCTTTCAAGGAGGGGGACAGGGGCAGTTTGTGTAGATAAAGAACCAGTGTTTGTTGTACAGCTGTGTGTGGGGGGTCATCTATCCTATATAAAGCTATTATTTTTTCTCTGAATCTTATTGTTTCTGTATTTGTGTCCTCCACCATTCCCTTCTCGGCTGACATAGATATGCCTGCCAGATTGTCATCAAGGGTCATCCTTCAATAAAAGGTGCTAAGGACAAAAACAATTGACTCAGATATTTTGACTCAGGAAATGAAAACCCCCTAATATTCTGCTGGAGAGTATTGGAAATGAATTTGGTCACCTATCCATCATATTTCATAAATATCTATATGAAACCTTACTCACATTCCAAAACCCCTACCCTGACCTCTTAGGAATGGTACTCATGCTGTATCATTCATCATCCCCAAGGAAATAGAGTCTGTAATAGACTTTTTAGGGGAACAGCTTTGAGACATCTATTCCAACAGTTCCCTGAATAGGGAGCACAGTTTATGCCATGGATATTTCTGTTGTTACTACAAGATGGAAATGTTTGTTTTTCTACTGAGAAATACCTCAGAACTACAATACCTGTCCTTTAGTTCACTGATACATTTCTTCCTCTATGGTTAGTTATATTGGTCTGTCTGTTTATATAATAAAATACACGAAGCTTGACATACTTATAATGAAGTAAGTTTTACTTAACTCATGATTTTGGAGGTTCAAGGGCATGGTACTAGTATCAGCTCAGTTCTGGTGAGGACCTCATAGTGGATGGCAACACAGTGCCAGGACTATATGCAAGAAGGAGCGATCCCATCACTGTACAGAAAGCCAAGGAACAAGTCATTTTTCAGATTCATGTTTTTATAACAAGTTGCTCTGAAGAAAAGTATATCAGGGATCCCATGAAAACTATTTTCACTTTTCTGAAGAAGTGCTCCCAGTGACCTACAGAAATCCCACTAGGCTCCACTTAATATTGTCATGCTAGGGACCAAGCTACAAGTACACAAACTCGTATGGGACTCACTCATGCCATATCCAAACTATAGCATCAGTCAATAGCAGCATCACAATTAGTCTAACCCATCACATTAAACACAAGAAGATTCAACAATTGAGATAATTTCAGGGGTAGACCTTAGCAGTATGCAGAGTCCTGTTCCAGAGTATAGCCTGATTAGCCTTCTATACCTCCTCCAATCTTGGGTTCTGTCTATATCATCTTACTAATAGCTGACAGTTGAACATCTCTCCTTCACTCTCACCTTCCTGGAAAGCAAGGAAGCTGATGAGTTCTCCAAAACAACCTCAAAGCTTAGATCCCAACGTATTCTATGCAGCAATTCTGACTCTGAAGGGCTTGCTTTTTCCGCTCTCCCCACTATTCTCCACATACTTCATATATCCAGATGTGGGAGTGTGGAAAGAACCCACTTTTAGCACTAGAATGAACTATGTTCAAATCCTGGTTCGGCATACTCTAAGATCCTGGATAACTTTCTCAAATTCTGAGATCATTTTCTTATCCATAAAATGTCAATAATAATAATAATAATAATAATAGTATCTATATCTCAAGGTTGTAATTTGAAAATAATAAATAAAAGCTACAAGCTATCTGCTGAGGAGCTGTTAGGCAGAATCCCAGGCCCCATCCCAACTCCTTGACAATAGTCTGAACTTTAACTAGATTTCCAGGAAATTCATTTGCATACTAAATGCCAGGAAGTAATGACCTGTCACAAACATATTCAGTGCCTAGTAAATATTCTTACAGTCTCGATTCTTTCCTTATCCCAGACACATTCTTGCTCTTTTCATTGCTCACAATTGCTGGGCAATGTTGCAGGATACAAAGTTAATGTATCTCTAAATCCTTTTGTGCTGTTGCAACAAAATACCTGAAATTTGGCAATTTATAATAAAAAATGTTTTTTCATTGAGTTTATTGGTACTTTTAACGTACACAGTACAGTTATATTTATCAATGGGATCTTGCACCTTTACATGACAGATCTTGGTTTTCATTTTTTCCCCATACCCTTGAATAAAAAAAATATTGGTGCATGGTTCTGGTGAGTGGAAATTCCAAGATCAAGGGGCTGGCATGTGGGGAGGGCCTTTTCATCGTGCCATGGTGGAAGGACAAAGAGAAGGTGAGAAAAAAACAAGAGATTCAATTTAAAAACCTCAGGCATTTTTATAATCAGTTTTAATCCATTCATGGAAGTGGAGCCCTCATGGCTTAAACACCTCCAATGAGACCCTACCTCTCACATTATAGCACTGAGGATTAAGTTTCCAAAACATGCTTTCTCACAGACACATTCCAACCATATTAATATGCAAAATCAAATGATACTAAAAGCACAGTTCCTAGACATTACACCACAAAGAAATGATAGACATTTGAAGTGTTACATAAGATAGTTACTCTGATCTGATTTACACATTGTGTGCATGTATAAAAATGTCACACTGTACCCCACAAACATATTGTTTCAATTAAAAATAAGAACAAAATTCAAAGATTAAAAACAAAGCAGTTCTATTTACTATAGTATCATGAAGCATAAAATACTCTAGAATAAATTTAATGAAAGATATTTCAGACTTTTACAATGAAAATTACAAAATATTGTTGAAAGGAATTAGAGAAGTTCTGAATAAGTGGACTTTATGGTCAAGGATTGGAAGATTTAAAATTTTTATTATAACAATATACTACAAAATGATCTACAGAATGAGAGCAGATTTCTTTGAGTAAATTGACAGGCTGATCCTAAAATTCATATGGAATTGGGAGGGGCCCCAAATAGCTAAAACAGTCTTTACAAGGAGCAGAATTGGAGATCTTAAAACTTACCAATTTAAAAATCCCACTTCAAAGCTACAATAATCATGAGAGTATTGTATAGGCACAAGAATAGACAGATATATAAATAGAAATGAATAGAGTTTGGAAACAAACCAGCAGATTTATGGTCAGTTAATTTTCACAAGGGGTGCCAAGATAGTAAAGTGAAGAAGAAATATATTTTCAACAAATGGTTGTGAGACATAGGGGAAATAAAATTGTGCCCTTTCTAGATACCATACACAAAGCAAACTCAAAATAGATCATATATCTAAATATAAAAGAAAATTATAAAAAAATTAAAAGTAAACAAAACTAAATCCTCCTGGCATTGAATCAGGCATTGTAACATAAGCAGCAAAAGAAAAATAGAAATAAATTAGAACACATTAAAAAACCTTTTTCTGCAGCAAATGGTACCATCAAGAAAGTGAAAAGACTGTCCATGTAGTGGAAGGAAATATTTGCATATATCTACTAATGGGCTTTAGAGACTGTATAAAGAACTCTCTACTCATAATAAAAAGAAAGAAAGATAACCGATTAAAAATGGGCAATGAAAAGAAAAAGGGCAATGGAATGCAGTAGAGAATTGCCAAAAGAGGAGCTTCAGTTAATATATGTGCTTTGTTTGATATAATATAATGCCATAGGCTGGGTAATTTAACAAACATTTGTTTCTCATAGTTCTAGAGGCAGGAAGATCCAAATTCAAGGTATCAGTAGAGTGAGTGTCTCGAAAAGGCCAAAGCCGTGTTTTATAGACAGCCCCTTTCTTGCTATGTCTTCACATAACAGGGAGAATGGTAGACTTATCTTCTCTTTAAAAAGTACTAATGCCATTATGAGAGCCCTAATCTTATAAACTCATCTAAAATTAATTGTTTCCCAAAGGCTCCATCTCAAAATATTGTCACATTAGAGACTAGGGCTTCAATATACGAATTTGAGGCCAAAAACATCGTCTATAGCAATATGCAAATGGTTAATAAACACTGAAAAAAGTGATCATCATTACTATTCATAAGGAAATACAAACTAGAATCATAATGAGATACCATTTCATACTTAGTAAGATGGTTATAATGAAAAAGTCAAACAACAGTGAGTGTTGGTGAAGATAAGGAGAAATTGGAATACTCAAACATTGTTGATGAGTATATAGATTAGCACAGCTACACTAAAACAATTTGGCAGTTTCTCAAAATGTTGAAGTTTCCACATGACTTAGCAATTCTACTCCTAGGTATATACCTCCCAAAATTGAAATTGTTCAACAAAAATATGTACATGAATTTTTTCCTCATTAAGTTTATTGGTACATTTAAAGGAAACAATACAGTTACATTTATCATTGGGATCTTGACACGATGTCTTGATTCTTGTATTTTTCCCCATACCCCTGCCCTCCCTTCACCCCCTTCACTGTTCCCTATTTACAAAGACTTTGTTTCCATTTTTACACATTTTTTCTTTTGCCTTATTTCCTTTCCCCTCCCCTTCCCACTTCCCCTTTAGACATTTCTTTCTAAATTTACACTCCTAATTATACCATTTGAACCTCATTTACACTTTTAGTTTTTCACACCAGAGAAACTATTTGGTATTTACTCAAGTGTGTCCTATTTATTTCACTTCACAGTATAGCCTCAATGTGCATCTATTTAGCTATTAGTGTTTCTAATTGCCCATTCTTTATGGCTGAGTAATACTCCATTTTATAGAAAAACCACGTCTTCATCCAGTCTCCAGTTGATGAGCATTTGGGTTGTTTCCTGGTTTTAGCTATCACGAACTGTGCCACTATAAACATGGATGAACATATATGACTGTGGTATGATTCTTTTAATTCTTTTGGAAAAAATACCCAGCAAGGGATAGCCGGATCAAAGGGAATCTCTGACCTTTGTTCTTTGAGGTATCTCCATATTGATTTCCACAGTGGTTGCACCAGTCTGCACTCCCACCAATAATGAAGAAGGGATCCTTTCTCCCCACAGCCCTGCCAGCATTTGACGCTGGTTGATTTCTTGATAGCAGTCATTCTTTCTGGGGTTAGAGGAATCTCAGTGTTGTTTTCATCTACATTACTTGAATACAAGGGATGTTGAACATTTTTTCATATATTTGTTTGCTGCTTTTAATTCATTGAGAAATGACAGTTCATTTCAGATGCCCAGTTTTAAATTGAGTCTTTGTATTTGGCGGGGGTCTAATTTTTTAGAGTTCTCTATATTTTCTAGAGAGTAGTCCTTTCTGAGGAACAGCTGGTAAATTTTTTTTCTGACATTGTAGGTTGTCTCTTAGTTTTGTTGTTGATTTCTATTGCACTGTAAAAACTTTTTATTACAACGAGATCCCAGTTGTTGATTCTTTGTTCAACTTCTCGAGCTGCTGAGGATTTGTTCATAAAGTCTTCTCCTATGCCAATGTCTTCAAGAGTTCTACCTAATTTACTTTCCAGTAGGTTTAGGGTTTCTGTTTTGATATTTAGATCTTTAATAC